GAATAAAAAGTGCATCCTTCTATTTTTTATCCTTCCTACTTTTCCATTCATGAGTATCAACCTATTGTAAGAATATTGGTTAAGAACTTCTTTTCAACCAAGCTCATTCTCAACTTTATCTGTTGATGCATAAACAACCGTAATTTCTCCCAGCCATCTTGAACACGGTTTAACTGAAAATTTTTGAAAAACAAAAGAAATTTTACTAAATCCTAAACTTAGTTATCTGTGAAAGTGTGTGTCTATGTGTGTTCATGTGTTGGAAAGAGAGAATTTAATAGCATGCAATTCATGTGAAAAAAAAAAATTGCAATTATCAATACCATTTGGTGTGAAAAGCTTCCCAAGGCCATCTGTGAAATCTAAAACATGTATGCATTCTTAAATCAGTTAACCACAAAACCTATTAGCATCAAGTCGAAAAGCATGTTTTGATTCTCCCCTAATAATGAACCAAAGCTGTTCGAACAGACCAATAGATGTTTGGTGTGAGTAAATGTTTCTTGAAAATAGACATACGAGAAAAAGTGATGGGTCCACAGGTGGCCAGCGCCTGTGGCTTTCAAGTGGGATTTCAGGGGTTCAAAGTACCGTGGTATAAAAAAGTGTTGGATAAGATAAAATTTTAATTGGTTAGACGAACTGTATTCAAGTATTTGGTGTAAGTCTTGAGATTCTGACGAAACGTAAATCTTAATTTAAATAGTATATGAATTGAGAGATCGATTCATATATCCGAATTTTGTCTTTGATTCTATTTAGAATCACAAGTCTGAACAATATAAACATGATGACTGAAGATAAATTATAATGTTCCCAAGATAAATGCAATGATAAGATTTTTTCAGCTTTTGTCTCTGACTATGCTTTTTGATTAGTTTGTTCACAACGAGAAGGGCAGGTGTAAATGAGCACAAAAGATTAAAAAAAAAGGGGTAGATGTTGTTCAAATTCGAAGTCATAGCTTGAACGGTAGAGATACCAAAGTTACATTCAATCTTTTATAATGTAGGATGATTTTCCTATTACCTAAACCTACAACCTCATTTTTTTTTATTAGTCTTACATTTTTTTTATCGATGCGTAAATCCTTCATAGTACCTTGAAATAGAAACTAATATGTTAAATCTAATTTTTTTAAATTCAAATAATTTTTTCAAAGCAAGATTATATTGGACTCACTAAAATTAAATAAACTCCGAAATTAAGCTAAATAAAACGAACAGTTTGGGTTGGAATCATTAATACTATTAGGGACATAATTAAAGGATATAATTTACGGACATAATGAATTGTCACAAATAAAATGATAGTAAAATATATTTAATGATGAATTCTATTATAGTATTAATGAATTCATTATTATATCGTTGATGATAACTTATTATGTCCTCAAATTATGTGTTTCTACCGATTCATTCAACGAAACAATCGTTTTCATAGTACAATGATTGTGTGACACCGACAGCCCTCCTCCGTGTCAAAGGGAAGAAGAAAAAAAAAGACGGCGGCACTGATCTCACTAACCCACTCCTTTGTAGGGATGTACATATTTTTAATAGGAGTTTAAATTCTATTCGAACTCTCAGTAATCCCAAGGGTTACGGATACCTAATAGCTTGTTCACATGTCAGCAACGTAACTATAAAAATAAAAAATTGTCGCCAAACTTCTATACCCACCAACTCTAGTTAGTGCAACGTGGTTAGGGTTAAAACAAAAAAAAAAAAAAAAAAGAGATTGTTTGGAGTCTTTAGACCATTAAACTTCATCTTCTTCGGAGCGACAATATTCTACTGTCCAATTGTAATTTCATTTGTCATTTTCTTTTATTCTGTAAATCTGGTGAGTGCAAATATTATGTAACATAAATGGCCATGGAAGCCTTGAATTTATTGCTAGCAATAACCTTCCCCTTGCTTGAATGTTTAACTGCAAATAAGAATCCATCTAGTGATTTGTTTCGCAAATTTATAATTGTGTTTTGTCACCTATTTGAAAGAGAATGGTTGTGAAGGTTGTAAGTTTTAAAAGCATTCGATGTGTTGAGATATTTGCTTTGTAGTTTTGGTCCTTGGCTTTGGTTGAACACTGAATTTTGAGTCTAGGTAGGACCCCAAAATTATTTTTTCTGATGAAGTTGGAGGATGCCGGAGAAGATGAAGTTCGATGGTTCCAAAGAAGACAAAGATTTGGGGTTGAAAACGGTTGATCCTTTCGTTGCTCTTTATTTGTGCGAGTCAACCAAACCACGTTTGAGTTAATTATAGTTAGTGCAAAGTGCGATCCAATTAATTGCTTGCAAACCAATTTAAGTTGAAGTGTTTTTGCTTTTGTCTAATTATCTTGCTGATGTGTCAAGAAGTTAGGTATCTATAAACCTTTGGATTCACAGGAAGTATGGATAGAATTTAAACTCTTTTAATATATTTTTATGTAATATAAGAGGTAGTTATTAGGTAGATATTTTAGTAAATGATTTAGTGATAGAATATTTTATGGGTAATTTCTTAAATGGTTACTAAAATAGTGGAAGGCATGGGTTATGTAAGTTATTAAATAGTTTTATTATATTGTATTTAAAAGTCTTTTTATCAATGAAATGAATATGTTGAATATTTTGATAAACTTTCTTATGAAGTTGGTTTTTCTCGAATTGAACCATCGGAGGTTCTCCCCCCTCGAAGTGGGTTCTTTATATCATATTCTATTTTACTTTTATTTTCTAGATCTTCAAAAAGCATGCATGTAACAATTTGTATCAAAGTCGACGATCTTATTAATAGCTACCTCATCAAAAATTTTGAAGTTAATGCGTGATGAATTTCAGGAACAATGAAAGAGATTACTTAAGTAAAATCAACGCATGCAAGAGAACTTCAACAAAGTTCTAAAAATCCTCCATGAAGGTGTGTCCACTCAAATGAAGGAGCAGATGACGAACCAAATTGGGATTAACAAGCATGTGACAGTTGAACACAGCAAAATAGGAAGACAAGATGTACATTCTAGTGGAATTCAGGCCTACTCAAGCACAGGAGCAAAAAGGCAGCCATTTGGGATGCGTTTATCTTCATTCTTGCCTACAGTTAGCACCAAATAATCCATTGGTCAAGTGATTGAAATTGCTGATCACATAGATTTTCTTCAAGAGGAAAATTTAATTGCCAATCAACACCACCACTCATTTAGTCATGAATAAAAATTCATTTTCAATGAGAAGGAATCAAATGTTGCATCAAGTAAGGATATGATTTTATTAGTGTCAGTTAGAGAATCAAGGTTGAAGAATCAAAATGGCACCCGTTGCTGGAAAGATTTTAATGGAAGTTGCTCCTAAGGAGTCATATACTGGAATCGAAGTAGTTCTCATCTAATTGTTGAACCCAAAAATGTGGGCTTTGTTTCCTTGAATTTGCTTGTCAAGAAGCACATACCTACTGTCTTAGTAGTGAAAATATGGATCAGATTGGTCGTTACAAGGACAAGGAAGTAGATTGGTCATCTCCGTTTGTACACGATAAATCAAACTTTGAGAACAAAATTTATTTTAAAGGAGATGGAATGTTAGGTACATATTTTTAATATATTTTTATGTAATATGAGAGGTAACTTCTTAGATGATTACTTAGATAGTGGGAGTCACGAGTTAGGTTAATTATTAAAGTAATTTTATTATATTGTATTTAAAAGTTTTCCTATCAATGAAATGAATATGTTGAACATTTTGATAAACTTTCTTGTGAAATTGTGGAGAAAAATTTTTCTCAAATTAAACAATCGGAGGTTCTTCCCTCTCGAAGTGGATTCTTTATCTCATATTTTATTTTACTTTTATTTTTTATATCTTTGACAAACGTACACGTACCAAAAAATTTTGTTTGTCAAATATTCTTACTAAAATTTTCTTCTCAAATAATGTGACATGATCTCCATTATTATAAAATGAGTCCCGTTAATATTGAACGAAAATAATTGTGCCACGTCATTTAGAATAAAAAATTTAATAAGCACAGCGTCGCTCCTATTTATTTAGTTGTTTCATAGAGAGATGCGTTGATTCCTCGAGAAGATTTCAGCTTCTTCTGCTCAGTATCACTCCGTTAGAGATAATTCCTTTGAACCTCTTTTAGGTTCTCTCTCTTCCCTGCAACAATAACTGTGTCAACTCTCTCTCTCTGCTGCATGAATGCCTGTAGATTATTATGATTTATTGTTCCCATATTCGATTTCTCTTATGATTTTACCTCATTACTTTCTCTGTTTCTGATCAGTAAGGTCTGAGGGACTCAAATCATGTAAGTTAATAGTTTTACTTTGATTTTAGGCAGACCTGATGAAGAAAAAAAATGAAGGGTTTTTATCGACTCTCAATGAATAAAATCGGTGGCAATGAAACGATTTTTGTTGGTCATTACCATTTCTTCAAAAGCTAAGACAAACCATTAGAATGATCAAAATGTGCCGAGTGATTTGTGTTTGGTGGTTTTTTTTTTTTCTTATTCTTGTTCATCTTGAAGATAAAATAGCAACTCTATAGAGCTAAGCTATTAGAGATTTATTCTCATAAATACTTTAATCTTTAACCCAATCAGAGATAAGATTAGTTGAGGTGTACATAAATGGATTCAGACACCCAAAACTTACTCCACATTGTCCCTTTTTTTTTTTATTTAAAATGTTTCCTCTCAAAAGTAAACATGATGATCTGTCTCAAATTATTGAACGTCAATATGAATATGATACCCTTAGGAAAGTAAAATAAACAAGAGAACTAGAGGTGTGGTTAACGTTTGTGTGGGAACGAAATGATATTTTCAAACTTGGTAACTTACCGCGGTATCTCTAATATTTGGGTTCTTGTTTTTCCTGTCAACTTTTTGTGGTGTTGCATTAAGAATTTGAAATTGTTTTGCAGGAATGTTTAAAGAAATTGGATTTGTCTTGTTGATCGAGTTTGCAGCATGAGCATATCAAGCTGTTCGTCCCCCACGTCCCAGGATATGCGGTTCCCCTGGCAGTCCACCCATTACAGCACCCAGAATAAAGCTTAGGGATGGACGACATTTGGCCTATAAGGAGCATGGTGTCCCCAAAGAAACGGCCAAATACAAGATTATTTCTGTCCATGGCTTTGCCTCTACCAGACATACTCTGGCAGTTGTAGCATCGGTAATTTTATAATTATTATTATGTAGCCATTCAATTGAAAATTTTTCTCTTCATGTTATTTCAATTGAATTTGATTTTTTTTGCAGCGGATGGCTGAAGAACTAGGGGTGTACTTCGTGTCTTTTGATAAACCAGGTTATGGAGAGAGTGACCCACATCCAAAACGAACCTTAAAAAGTATAGCTTTGGATGAAGAAGAGCTAGCTGATCAGCTACAACTTGGATCTAAATTTTATGTAATTGGGGTTTCTATGGGAGGACAGGTGGTCTGGGATGCCTTAAGTACATACCTCACAGGTAAGGAATAGCTAATAGTAGTTTATATTTGACATATTGAAAATTTATCTCTTTAGATAATTTTTTCTTCAGGATTGAGGAGTAATCCAAATCCAGGAATTATACGGATTAACACTCTGAATAACATCCCCAAAAATACAAAAAAAAACAAGTTGTTTCTGTAACGAAACATACTGTTTAGTGAGAAACGGCTTGTTTCTGAATCTCTGGAATGCAAATTTTTTTTGATAAATTACAAAATATCCCTTTAAACTTGGATCTTGTTTTAAACAGGTCCTTTTGGTTTACGATTGAACATGCACAAATACACACATAATCCACACATCATAAGCAACTAACCAGGAGAGAGACCCACCAACCAATTTCACTTCAAAGAGAAATTGGGAATAGGTCACTGATACTCCACCGATCTTTGTTGCTGAGGAGCCGATGTGAGACAACACTCTTGTTTTTTTTGACAAAGACAATAATTTGCCCCTTCCGGTTTTAAAATTAGCAAGTTGACGGATGAATTAGACAAAAATTATAAAATTACTTATGTACCCTTAACTGATCTCCATTTTCTTTATTTTCTCTTTGTCCAATTAAGCCAAAAGCTTCAACACCACCGCACCAGCCACGAACCATCGCAGCCACCACCCAACTACCGCAGCTACCACCCAACCAGCCACAAACCACCGCAGTCACCACCCAGCCACAAACAACAACAGCCACCACCCAACCACCTAGCCACAAACAACTGCATCTACAAACCACCGAAGAAATCGATCGAAAATACACCACCACAACCAAATCAACCGATCATCTACACGAATTCTCTCTCTCTCTCTCTCTCTCTCTTGATGGGTGATGCCCAATAAAGGGTAGATTTCTTTTTAGGTTGGAACTGTTTGGGGGCTGCTGCTAGGGGTATGTTTCAGTTTCACTGGTAGGGAGTTGAGGGAATGGTGGGGTTGCACCGGAGGACGAGAGGGATTTCAATTGTTTGCGAGGGGGTGGGCTTCGGTGTCGATTTCAGTGGAGGGGGTGGGTTTTCATCGGAGAAATCATCGAAGGGAGTTGGGTTTTTCAGCGGACAAATCGTCGGCTTTTTGTGTGGACAGTTGATTTTTTTTTTTTTTTGATTTTTTTTTTTACAATAAATATTAAGACAATGGTAGGTTTGGCTTTTGATTTATTTAAGTCATTTTGAATGGTGGTCAACTAATGGTAAGAGTCTGATTAAAAAAGAAATTAACGGTAAGAGTTAATTAAAAATTATTCAAACCTTAAGGGACAAATTGTTTATTAGAGGACTTGATTGAAACAAGACTTAAAGTTTAAAGGGAGATTTTGTAATTAACCCTATTTTTTAGAAACTTATGATATGATTGTCCTTTTAAGTGATTTCCTCCTAATATTTTAGAATTCTTTATTGTTTCTTTCTACTATCAAGCTAAAGTAAAATACTTGGATTGCTGACAGGTTGGCGGGAGCAACGTTAATTGCTCCTGTAATCAACTACTGGTGGCCTGGTTTCCCTGCAAATTTATCCGCAGAAGCCTACTACCAGCAATTTCCACAGGACCAGTGGGCTTTACGGGGTCGCTCACTTCATCCCTTGGCTCACCTACTGGTGGAACACTCAGAAATGGTTTCCTCCCTCTAGCGTTATTGCTCAAAAGGCTAAGTTTTCTCGCCAAGATTTGCAACTTATATCCAAGTTTAGAGAATCACAAAATTCCAGGGTAAACGTTTTTTCTTTTCTGTTTTTTGTCATGAAAAATGAGGATGAATTAACAATAAGTCGTACGCGGTACTCTGTGTGTGTGTGTCGGCTTGTGCTTGATCAAGAATTTCTGCAAAAGAAAAGAATTTCATCAATAATTTGGCATAAAAAAATGTTCAACATCGCTGCAAGCTGAGTTCTAGATCCCATTAACAGAAATTATGAGATGTAATAGCTTGTCCAATCAATAACGTGGCTAAGAAAATGTTTGTATAATAGTTCTTTAGAATATGTCAGTTAAAAAATGTCCCAAAATTTGTGAATGGCATATGATTCCGAATCTCCCACTTATTATTTTGACAACCAGGAAAACGTCACGCAACAAGGAGAATTTGAGTCCTTCCATCGCGAGATGATGATTGTATTCGGGAATTGGGAATTCGATCATATGAATCTGAAGAATCCTTTCCTCGATGGTGAAGGCTCTGTCCATTTATGGAACGGCGATGAAGATGGCTTTGTGCCTGTTACACTGCAGCGCTACATTGCTGAAAGGCTTCCTTGGATACACTACCATGAAGTACCAGGTGCTGGACATCTATTTCCATTTGCTGATGGTATGAGCGACGCTATCTTGAAGGCCCTTCTATTAGGGGAGAAGAGCCTATGGCAGAGATAACTTGCTATCTCTCTCTCTCTCTCTTTTCTGCAACTACTAAAAATAAAAAGTTGTTTGACAATTGATTTTAAATAAGAAATTGATTGTGACAGTTCATCAAATCTATAGAGGATAAATTGAGAGTGAGTGCAAAGTACTCATCAATCCAAATAAAAATTGTGGCTTGGAGACCGGAAATGAGACTAACATTTACTATCTCTTCTAGACACGTTATAGGTGAAAATCTTATTCACCGGGTGAAACCAGAGCCAATTTCTTACTGAAAAATGGACAGATGAACTTATGGAATATGAAACTGATCCTTGAAGATATCAAAGTCATGAAAGTAGTCAGGAACACTACTACTGAGGATGGTTGAAAATGGTTCTAACTTGGAAATACATTTCTCACTAAGTGTGAACATTAAATCTGTTCCTATCCACTTGTGGTTCTCGACCTAAGGGAAGGCCTGTTAACCACTAACAGATCTGGTCCCGAGTAGTAAAAGTTCACAATTGTGACCAAATGTTGTTTATATGAGCTTAGATTTTTCATTAAACTAAGCTTGACACCTGATTTTTGGTGGTTAGCGATTTTTTTAATTACATATATATCGATATGTCCCGTCTACTAAGGATCAAATAAAAGTTTTACACCTATTAAGAATCATATTTTTTTCCTTCATAACACAGGCACACCCCTGACATCTTGAAGAAGAGCCATTCAAACTTCATAAGGCAAACGCATGTCCACAGAAAAATCTGCAGAACTACCAACTTTAACTGCATGATTAGCCAACCTGTCTGCTACACCATTAGCCTCTCTAAAAATATGCACCAATTGAAAATCCATGGACTTCAGCAACTCCAAAATCTGACCCAGCAAGCTCAAATAACGCCAATCACATTCACACTTCCGCAAGGCATAATTCACTAGTGACAAGGAATCACTCTCAATAAGAAGGCTGTACCCACATAAACCATACTGCTTAATCATACACAAACCATCCGCTATAGCTTTAAACTCAGAATACATATTAGTGCACTCCCCATAAAAGAAAACAGCAGCCAAAACCATACTGATTTCTAATTATTTGTTTAAAATCATAGAAATTAATTGTTATAGGTAGGGATGGTGGCGGTGACGGGAACAGAGACGAAGATTAAAATTTCTCCCGCTAACAAGGGTGGATGAATATTTTTGAAGTGGTTACAGAAGTGGAGACCATTATCCCGCCCCCATGCCGGTTCACTATCACCCCTAGCTAGTATGAACAACCAACGACTCGAGACAGTTTTGCATTCTGTCGTTGATCGGTCAATTGTTCATATCGGGCCAGCCTTAATGTTTGCCTTTTTCACGATTTTTTTTTTTTAACAAAATTAATTAGTTACCAATCAGTTACACTTATGTTATGATACACCACAGAGTTACACATGCGTTTTGATAGACCAAACAATTACACTAAATAAGAACACAAAATGATGACACTATAGCCAATACATCATTCAGTTATTTATATAAACTAAAGAGTTGCACCATTCATTATTTGCCACATTATCACACCAATAAAATACAACAAAATGGGTGAACCAAAAAAACATACCAAAGATATAGCGTCGGTGTAACTTTTTGGTGTAACATTGATATCCAATTATGACGGAATAACCGTTGGTGTAACATTAATATCTGATTAGGTCAAATTTTTATATATTTGAAAAGAAAATAAATTATTAATCAGTTATGATCTTTTCAGTGTATGTCCTTTGGAGTATCAATACAATGACGTTTAAAAATGTCGACGTCGTATTGAGAGAGAGAGAGAGAGAGAGAGAGAGAGAGAAAGAGTAATTATGCCTTAAATACGTAGTAGTGTACAGAGAGAAAATAAGGGGACAGAGTGAGAGAGAATGAGAATATATGTTCAAAATTCAAATGGATGACAAAATTTAATTAAATCTTTACATATTTGATTAAAAAATAAACTGTTAATCAATTATACATTATTTAAGGAAATGTAAACAAGTAATATAAATAAAAGGTCATCTGAATTTCGTACCTATAACAAGAAGGTTTACTAAAAATGAATTTAATAGAATAAAAAATTTATCAATACACTTCTTTTCAAATAAGTCTAAAAAAATGCACCAACACCCAAAAAAAACCCTTTCTAAAATGGGTTTTTTAGCTGTGGGTATAATTTTTTAGACTTATTTGAGAAAAATTGTATAGATAAATTATTTACTCTATTATGTTTAATTTTAATAAAACATATTGTGTTTAGGTACAAAATTCAAATGAAATCAAAATTGTTTTACCTAAATACTCTCCCTTAAATTATGCATTTTTGATTGACAATTATATATATATATATATATATATATATATATATATATATCAAATATGTAAAGATTTCATTAGACTCTTTCACTATCCCTCCCTTATTTTTTCTCCATCTCTCTCTCTTTTCACATTACTTTCCCCATCTCTCCCCTATTTTCTCTAATCATTTCTCTCTCATTTTTTTTCTCTCTCTCTCCTTAATTTGTCTCTCTCTATTTATATCAACATTAGAACAACATAATTACACTTATCAATTACACCAATAAGTTATAATTGTCTTATAATACATCAAATAGTTACTCACGTATTCTAATAAACCAAACAATTATACAAATTTAGAACATGAATCCAATTTGTTATTCAGTTGTTTACATAAACTAAATAGTTGCACTATTTAGTATCGCAACATCGTTACACCAATCATATATATCAAATTTAGTATAATGGTAAAAGTCCTTTATGTAATGATAAACCTAATTTGTTGTATATAATTGGGGTAACCATATCGTGACACTAAATGATGTAATTTTTTGATTTATGTAAATAACAAAATTACAAATTAGGTTGGTGTTGTAATTTCGTATAATTGTTTAGTGTAACTATTTGATTTATTAAAACACATGAATAATTGTTTAGTGTATTATATGGTAATTGTAACTAATTGGTATAACTAGTTAGTATAATTGTGTTGTATAACATTGATATAAAGAGAGAGAAAATGAAAATAATAAGAAAATAAGGGAGAGGGAGTGAGAGAGAGAAAAAAAAAAAGGGGGAGAGAGAGGAGAAAATATTCATTACAACGGTGATATCACGTGGCAGAGATGATGTTGTATCACCAACTAATAATCCTAAAACAAATAAACATATGGACCTTACAAAAATTCATAATTAACCTGTCATGTAAGCAAATAATTTTCTACCCTTTTGACATGTAAGCTAACGTGCACCTTTCTCATTTGATATTTTATTATTGGTTGATGATATTATATCATCAATGGAGACATGATATTACTGTTGTATTCAATATTTACTCGAGAGATGAAAAAAATAAAATTAAATCTTTACATATTTAAAAAAAAATTATCAATATAATAGAGAGAAAATAGGGAAAGAGATTGAAAAAATAATAAATATCCGTTTAGTCTTTTTTCACAAATTACCCTTCTGAAATTTTGACTGACAGCCTATAACGGGCCTTCAGTCGATTGCCCCTTGATGGTTATCTTTTTCAGAATTTTGGCCTTTTAAAAAATTGACTATATAAAATTATGAAAAGTGGGAATAAGTCAAATTTAAAAAATTTATAATGAGTTAAGTCTATCACTTAAACATATTTGGGATTAAGTTCTATTATTATCTTTTTAATAAATAGTTAAGTCCAAAATTTTTTAATAACTCTAAAATGCCCTTCATATTTACTTTGAAAGCATTCTTCAACATCAAAGTGCCCTTCATATTTAATTTTAGGTATTATCCACATTATTCTTCCGATACTGCTTTGTGTGTTCATTTTTCATTGGTCACTGTCGAAGTTATTGTCATCCACAATATTTTGAAAGATTTTTTGCGTGCGTTTTTTGCCAAAGTTCTTGTGTTCGATTGTTGGAATTCTTGAGTGTGTTTTGCCGGAGTTCTTAAGTTCGATTGTCGGAATTCTTGTGTGCGTTTTATCGGAGTTTTTATCATCAACGTGACCACGATTTTTTGACAGATTTTTTGAGTTTGAACTTGCCGGAGTTATTGAGCTCTATAGCCGGAATTCTTGCTTGTGTTTCGCCGGAGTTATTGTCATCAACGTGACCACTATTTTTGACACAGTTTTTGAGTTCGGCTTCGCTAGAGTTCTTGAACTCTATTGTCGGAATTGTTGAGTGCGTTTTGCCGGAGTTATTGTCATCAATGTGTAGTCCATGTAATTCACTATTTCTTTTTAACGTTGTTTTCGGATTGTGGTTTTTTGTGTTTTTAGTTATTTAATTCTTAGTCTTTTGCTAAAGCCCTGTGTTTTTTTTTTTTTGTTCATACTTTAGTTCCATTATCATGAAGTGATACATCTGCTGAGTTCGATTGCCGAAGTTTGATTTCGTTCTTGCTGGTGTGCTCATTATAATTTAGTTACTTACTTAATGTTGTTTCTATTAGATTGTGTTTTTTCTTGTTTGACTGCATTGTCTCAATTTCTGCTTCTTTTTTTCCCTTCTCGTTCTTCAGTTTTCTCACTAAACTGTCAAGAGAAGATTCTACTGATAGTTGTTGTGTCGACAACTGCTCTTACTCACGAATTGTTCCATTTCCTTGATTGAATCATCCTTGGTGAATTGTTGTCCTATGTCATCAACCTCACGGACATTATCGACCTTTGGTTTTTTTGACCGATGGTTTTTCATTAAGAGCTTCTTTGTCCTTGTTTTCTTAAGTCTCGATCTTCTTAAAAACCTGAAATTTGAAAAGTGTTACTTTCACAAAAAATTAGTAACTAAGGTGCACAAAGTCGAATATGTACGATTAAATCAGTCGAGTGTGTGGTGTAAAATAATTAATGAAATAATTTAATAATAAGATATGAGAATTTGGTGGTTGGGTTTAGGTGACCTAATCACGGAAAATGACAACAGTAGCCGAAAAACTCTATTAATGAGAGAGTATAAGGTAATAGGAGACAGAGAGAGCAAGAG